ATTTGTTTGAAGAAATTAATAAATTCCCAATTTCATTAGTTGATAAATAAGATTCAAAATTTTTTAATTGGTGTAAATACTCATTTGAATTTGCTAATTCAAGTAATTGTTGGTTACTTGAGTTTAAAAATAAAAAATTAATTAATTCTTTTTCTGAATTATTTCCTAAAATTAAATTTTGAATATTAAGCAATATTTGAGCTATAAAATTATAAGAATCGGAAAAAGAAGTATCAAGATCAAAAGTAGGAATAGTTAGTGAAAAAAGAATTATAAATAAACTGGCTATTATAAAAGCTCCTGGAATTAGTTTACTATAATTTGCACCTATTTCAACGGTATTTACTAAGTCTGTACTAAGCATCATTATTATAAAAAGCATTAAAACAACTATTGCACCAATATAAACCAGAAGGTAAGATAATCCTATAAAATTTAATCCTAATAAAATTAAATAAATCGCTACAGTCAAAAATACTGTGATTAAAAAAATAATGGCAATGACAGGGTTAGTACTAGTTATAACAGCTAATGCTGCTAAAACAGCAACAATAGTAAGAAACTCTAAAAAAATATTTAATAAATTAATTTGCATTTAAAAAAAAAATTGAATCCCAAAATAGTGTATTGCAATTGCAAGGCTAACATTTACCTTCAACCTTTGAAAAGACTACCAATTATGCTAATAAACTGTGACTTCCTTCGAATTAGCTAACTAGGTATTTAAAAAAGGGTTAAAAATAAAGTTAAAATATAATAATTGGGTTAAAAAATCTCGCCACGTTTAAACGTTTAAAAAGGGAAGCTATTATAGAAAAAAAAAGTATAAAGAAAATAAGAACAGGGGTGAGCTATTCAAATTTAGTTCGATTTGCATTCATACTAGCAGCAATGTTTTGAATTTCTTCAAGTCCTTCTTTACTAAGATGAGCTTTTTGATTCATCATAGCAATAATTTTTTTAAAGCATTGGTAATCAAGCTCTTTTTGGCCGTAAAGTTTTGTATCAAATTGTTGAGTGAAAGAATTAACTTCTTTGAGGCTTGTAATTTTTCACTCGGCTGCATTATTCGTAGGAATTAAATAAATATTACCCAATGCTAAAAAGTTTTTAATAGATTCTAATACAATAAGACTTTTTATGTTTTGGGAAATTGTAATTCGAAGTTGTACAGTGAAGCCAGCTTTGGTAGAGTTTGATTTTACAATTGAGACCCCAAAGTGGCCATCACCTTGCATGAAACCCGCGAGTCAATAAATGTTAAGTAGTGCAAGATTAGGATTGTAATCAGGGCAAGCGATTTGGTAATTAACTCAGGATGGAAAGGCTAATAGCAATTGTTGAGAAATTCCAAAAGGTGAATGCTGTTTCAGTGCAACGATTTTGTTTAGCCCTTCGATTGTAAGGTGTTCTTTATTAACCATTAAGTCAACTACCTGGCTTCATAATTGATAATGCACCATTTTGTAGGTAATCAAAGGATAATTGAGAAAATGGTTTCGAATTATTAAACAATCAGTTAGGCCACGCACCTGATATCGAATTGAAGCATTGTTGTTGCCTCTTGCGAACTCTGTGTAAATTTTTCCAATGCCACCAAAAGAACTTTGGATTAATTTAAATTGTTGATCGTTGGCTGGGTTTGATGCAGCAACTAAACTAAAAACTACGATAACTGTTCAACCTAATTTGTTACTGGGTGCTTTTTTTACAGAAAAACCAAAGTGCGCTTCACTGTCTGTGAACCCTGTGATGTACCATGGTTGCATTGGATCCACCTCTTCAGCACTTTTACAAGTAGGATTTGAATTATTTTCAATTAAATTTAAAGTAGTGGCACCTAAGAGACTAAAATTATAATCATTAAATGCAAAATTAAAATAAAAAATATCGGTAATGATTAAAATAGCGACAACCAAGAAGACTAATTTAAATTCTTCTATATTTAAAAAATAGTTTAAAAAAAGTAATGCTATTAAAAAAAGAATAACGAAATTAAAATTAAATATAAAAAAATAATTTAAAATTAGATTATAGTTTAATCCCACATTTGCTCCAATGCTAAAGCAAACCCAAATTAAAGTCAACAAATAAAAACAATTTATTGAAACTTTAGGCTCTTCTAATTCTTTTAACAATAAATTTATTAAAACTAAAAATCAAATAACAATTGTAATAAGTAAAGCTCAAAAAAAAGTTCATTTTATTAAAAACAATAATCAAAAAAACGAACCTTTTATTAAATTCACTAATCAAAAAAAGCAAAAACTCAATCAATTTATTAAACCAGAAAATAAAAAAGGCAAAGTACTATCATTAAAAGTTAATAATGAATTATAAAAAAAGGCCCCTGGGAAAAGCAAATTAAAAATATAAGAAAGAGCAAAAAAGTACAAAAAAAAGGCACAACAAAAGCCAAAATAATTAAAATTAAAAAGATTGTCAGTATAGATTTTTTTGGCTATAAATTTTTTTCTTTTAGTAAATTTTGTTACATAAGAAAGAAAAAAAGGCTCAATTTTTTTTAATAAAATATAAATTGTTAAAAAAATAATTCAAAAGATTAAAAAAGCTGCTCCGTACGGAAAGAAAAAATATAAAACATTTAAAAATAATGTGATTAAAAAAATAATGGCTATGACAGGATTAGTACTAGTAATAACAGCCAATGCAGCTAAAATAGAAAAAATAGTCAATAATTCTAAAACAATATTTAATAAATTCATTTGCATTTAATTAGTTTTAAAAAGTGCCCAAAATAAATTGCGTGCGCAGCCCCCTAACTAGAGGGTATAAAAATTAGCGCTTTTAAATTTTAATTTAAATTAATGTTTATTACTTTTATTAATAAAAGTATATTTAAAATTAAAATTAAAATTAAAAAAATATAATAATTGGGTTAAAAAATCTCGCCACGGTGGAATAATTTATTTTTTTTAAGGTTAATAAAATTTATTTTTTTTTAAGGTTAATAAAATTTATTTTTTTACATAGCTATCAAATTTATCTTGCAATTAATTTAATTATTTTATTTTTAATTTAACAAGAACTATTTGTACTACTATAAATGAATTTTATAAAGCATTGAAGGCACCATAAAAGGCTTAACTAATTCTCTTACCTTATTCATAGACCTTTTACTGATATAAATTCTATACTGCCCTGGATTACGAGTTTGTAAAGTACAGATTAATTCATATTTTAAAATTAATACATTCATTAATCTAACTGTATCTTGAATAGAAAAAGTATCAGTGCATAGTGTAATTCCACCTCCTTTAACATGCTGGCCATCTCCGCAAATCCAGTGACATAATGCAATTGAACTTAAATCATTGTAAATATCTGCCGGAACAAGTTTTTTACCTGCTGGGTATCATTTGTTGTATAACTCTGTTAAGCAAGGCAGTGATTTTGTCTGAAAGTGTAAACTATAGTTTATTTTATTATTTAATTTTTGTTTTACTGAGTAGGGTAGTCTTTTACAATAATGAGAAAATAAGTTAAAAACGGATAATAGATATTCAGAGTTGGCTACTGATTGTCCAAGTTTAAATCTTGCATTAACTCTTCCTTTGACAACTCTTAAATTACTATCCGAAAGCAACAAACCTGCCATTGAATCTTCAATTCTCGGTGGGAGCTTCACCATTGCAGCTGCCATTTTAGTAAATTGCGGTTTACCAACACTAGATTCGAGATTTTCACCCCACAGTACAATTGCTTTACATTCATTTTGCGTAATAGTATTATTTTTTATTATTAATTTTTTATTAGGTTTAAGATTAGCTGCTTGCGTATTTTTTGTTGGTATAATTGTTGAAAAGTTTCTAGTATGAGAAAGGTTTCTATTTAAGCTTTTAGTAGGTTTATAATTAATTAAAAAATTTTTTGAATGAGCAAATTTAATAATTGAAAATGCACCTTTTTTGTTATTTGCGTTAATGCTAATTTGATTACTTTTATTTTTATATCATAGTACAAAACTGTTTGTGTTTGCTGAATTAGAATAATTTGCAATATATTTTTTTGTGTTTTTTTTCATTTTAAAGTTTATATTTGTGTTGGTCAATGACCTACTATATATTTTTATTATTTTTATTATTTTTATTAAGTTGGTGTACTAAATTTAAATGTTTAAACTGTGCAAAAAAAAAGTTTAGTTTTGAATTACTGCACATACTAAGTGATCCGTTTAATTTTTTTTTTCTGCCTTATTTTTTATTTTAAATTTATGTTAAATAAAATAAAATTTTTTGGAGCTACGTTATAAAAAAAATTATTTAACGAATTACGCAGTGGTAATTTTGTTTGATTTTAATTTTTTAAAAAGTTAAATAAACAACTTAAAAATTTATTTAATAGAATGCTGCAGCCCTTAAATATTTAAGGTTTAATAATTTATTATTTTTTTATTCGAAGATGATTATTATTTTAAAATTTATTTGAATAATTAATTTTAATGCTCAGAATTGTTAGAGCATTTAGTTGTTTAATTAAAATTTAATGTTTTTTATTAAAATTTTATAGTTTTTACACTCAATTTTGTTTTAATAAATTTATTTTTAAAAATAAGAACTACGCTAGCTATCGTAGCTTACGCTTAAAAAAAATTTTTTTTTAATTTAATTATACAACTATATTTAGTCTAATAATACATTAAGACTATTAATAAAGTCCATAATATAAATGGCTAAAATTATAGACTAAAAAAGCTAAAGACAAAAAAAAAAAAATCAAGGCATGCTTCGCAAAGCATATTTTTTTCTTTTACGCCTTATAAAAATGATTTAAATCAAATTTTAATAATTAAAATAGTATATATGAACTATAAAATTTTATTAATAAAAAGTAAATAATTAATAAAAAGTAAATAATTAATTTAAAAAAAAATAATATTTTTATAATTTTAGTTTAAATAATTATTAAAAAAAAAAAGTCTAAAGATAAAAATAAAATTAAAAAATCATATAATTATATAATAATAATAATAATAAGAACAAGAACTGATCGAATCGAACAATCACTAATGATTTTGAAGATCACTGTACTACCACTAATACTAAGTTCTTTTATTAAATACAAAAAATTTAAATAAAGTAAAAGGTTAAAAAAAAAATTTAAATAAAGTAAAAGGTTAAAAAAAATTTTTTTTTTATTTATTTATTTTTAACTTCTTTTATAATTAAAATAAATTATTATTTTTAAAGTTAGGTTAATATTTGATTTAAATAATTAAAAAAATTGGTGGGGGTCTTTACTTTAGTTTGATTAAACTAAATCTTCTTCCAATTATAAATACAATATTATAATAATAGTATATTATATTTATAAGATTTAATAGTAATTATTGTTAATTATATTATTTAATATAATAATTACAAATAAAGTTTAATAATTAAAAATAAAATATACCGGGCCAATAGGCTCTCGTTATTTTTACGAATAATTATTAACAACCAATAAAAAAGCTTTTAACTTTTTTAAATAGTTATAATAATAATTTAATTAAAAATATAAGTTTTAAAAAGTTTTGGATTATTTATAATTATTCATTTTTTCTTTAATTGCCATAATTTTATTATACCCTTCGTGAGTTAAATGTTCATTTTTAATCATTAAAGAAATAATTTCTTTAAAATGTAAACTATCTATATATTTTTCCCCAATTAAAGGGTATTTATTAAAAAATGGTATTATTGTTTCACTAATAGTTTTAAAACTTAAAATTGATAATTGAACCATTTTTGTATTTGGATAAGTGTAAACAAAGTCAGGTGTTTGTAAACCAAGTAAAATTTTACTTCTTCAACAACTATAGTATCTCTAATATGCACCATTACTGAAAATCCTAAAATAATTCTTTTACCTATTTTATGAGATTTAGATAAAACAGATTTTACAAAAATTGAACCATCTCCGCTAACGAAACCTGAAATTCAATTATTATTTGTAATACCTTTAAATATAAATAAAGGTCTTTCAACAGGAACAACGTGAGGGAAAGCGGTTTTTAATTGATCTGATAACCCTAAATTTAAAGCACCTTTAATAGCAACTAACTCTTCTATTCCTGTTATAGTTAAATGTTTTTTAGCAAGGATTATATTATAAGCATCTAATCATAATTTAAAATCAGAAGACTTATTAGAAACTAAAGGGTAATTATTAAAATGAGTTACAATAATTTTAAGATCATTAATGGCAGTAATAGTTAATATTGCATTATTTTTATAAAAACTAATTTGGCCTACACCATAAAAATTTTTAATTTGATTTAGTAAATTTAAATCTCTAATATTAAGTGTTATTAAAAATCTTAGTTGTGGCTGTCAACCTGTTTTTGTTTTACTGGTTTTAGTTATTTTTAAGTTAAATGAACACTCAGCGTCCGCAAATCCAGTTAAAGCTCAAGGATGCAAATAAGATGAAGTTGACGTTGTATAAGATGCATTATATAAATTTATTATTTTTTTTTAATTTTAGTTCTATTATATTTAACATTTTTATTTATAGTAATAGTGGTGCGCAATTCGCTTTAAATTTAAATAATATTTATTTTTTTTTTACTATACATTAAAGTGATTCGATTAAATTTTTAATTAAAAGTTTAAAAATAAAAACGATTATTTTAATCGAATTCGCATTGATATAAATTTTAGAATAAATAATTTTATTATTAAAAACCAAATATATTTTAATTACATAAAATTTATAGTTTGATTAATTGCTCTAGCCCTGCTAACTTAATTAAAAAATTACATTTTTTTAATTTTTTATATTTTAAGTAGAAGGTAAAATTAAAAAAAAATTAAAAGATACATTTAATTTTATTGGCCAGAATTGTTAGGCCTTTTTATTGTACATTTATTAAGTTAATAGAAATAAAATGTACAATTATTTTTTGTCTAATAATATTTTTAATTAATTTTTTTTTAAGTTAAAACTCGACGGCTTGAATTGTAGACAAAAAATAAAAAGGTTTGTTATTGGAAATTTAGAAAATATTAATTAAAAAATAGAGTATAAAATAAAGCATTTTTATTTTTTTAAAAAATTTAATATTTGAGTATTGTTAATTTAATATTATTTATTAGATCATTAAAATTAAATAATTTAAAGTAATATTATGAAATAATTGCATTTTTAATTAATATTTATTTAAAAAGTAAGTTCTTATTTAAAATTTATTTTAGTTATTATTCTGTAACTTGCTTGTTTGCTACTCTATCTACGCTAGCGTAGAAAACAGCTATGAAGAGAACAATGCGGAGCAGTGGAGCGTACTAAAGGCATTCGTTAGGCAGGAGAAATACATATAGATTTTTTTTTTTTATAAAAAATATTTTATTATTAAAACGCTTAGTATTTAAAAATTTAGTCAATTAAAATTTTAATTTAAAAAAACGAGCCTTATCGGATTTGAACCGACATAAACTTTCGTGACAAGAAAGTACTTTACCGTTAAGCTAAAGGCTCTAATAAAAAATTTTAAAATAAGTCTTTTGTATAAAATCCCATAATATAATAATTAAAATATTTTGTTTTTTTATTATTATCAATTAAATTTTTACTTTTATATATTAAATTTTAAATATTATATATTACATAGTGTTTTATTTTAATAAATTTTATGCAAAATAAACTATGATTAATAAAAAAATTAATAATTAAAAAAAAATATGCTTTGCGAAGCATGCCTTGTTTTTATTAATTTTTTTTAATATTTATTATTTTGGTTTAATTTATTATTTTGGTTTAATTTATTATTAATTAAAATTTTTGAAATGCTACTACCTGCTTGCCGCTAGGCTAGAAGCTAATGGTTAAGAAAAAAAAAAACACTTACATTATTATTGTAATTTATTATATACAAAATAAAATATTTGCTTTTATACTTTTATACTTTTATACTTTTATACTTTTATACTTTAAAGCTTTTAAAAAAATTTCAATCTTTTATTAAATTTAAATAATTTTTTGCGTAGGCTTCGCATCTGTACAGTCTGTACAGACTGTACAGATGCAAAGCTTTTTTTTTTTAATTTATTATATTTTTATTATTATTAAATAGGTTGTATTTTAATTTTAAAATTACAAAAATATAATTTTAAGGCCCATATTAAAAAAAATTTTTTTAATAATCATCTATATAATTATGATTATTTTAATATAGTTTTTTAAGAAAAATATTAATGCTAGTGTAGCGCAGCATATGTTAGAAAAGCTTACGCTATTGTACAAAAAAATAAATAATAATAAATTATTTATTTATAGTTTTAATAATATAAATTAAATAAAGCAAAACCAAGAACTGGTTGATTTGAACAACCCCTAATAATTTTGGAAATTAAAGTACTACCAACTATACTAAGTTCTTTATTAATAATTTTTATATATTTTTATAATCAAGATTAAATTAAAAATTATATTTTATTTATTCTTGGCTGCTCCGCTTATCCGCATAGTCTAAGTGTTCGCTAATTAGGAGCAAAAAACTTATTTTAAAATTTATAGTTGATATTTAATTAGTTGTATAAAATATAATTAAAAAAGGGTAAAGCAAAAGAATCGAACTTTTAACTACATGGCCACAGTATGTTGTTTAACCATTAAACTAGCTCTACCTCTTTTAAATATTAAAAAATAATTGTGCATTATTTTATTTATTTTTAAAAATTATTTTTTTTTATATTTTAAAAATAGCCAGCCTACCGCTAGATTATAATCTAATCAAAGTATATTTATATAAAAAATTATATTTATTTTTCGCTTTTCTAATTTATTTATTAAAATATTTGAATAAATATTAAAACTTATTGAATAAAAAATAAACTACAATAATTTATTTTTTAATATTTTATTTTTAAATATAGTAAAAATAAATAATAATTTATTTTTTAATATTTTATTTTTAAATATAATAAATTTTATTAATAAAAAATAGTAAATTTAATTAATAAAATATAGTAAATTTAATTAATAAAAAATAGAATAAAAAAAAATAATTTTTTTAGTTTATTCTAAAAATTTTATATGTTTAATTAAAATATTTTATTCTTAGTTTTTATTTTTTTTTTTCATTTTTGTTTTATATTTGTGCAAGTGCTTAAGCTTAAATTTAAAAATTAAAAAATCCTCTTTAATTAAAATTAATTGAAAAACCTTTATATAAAAAATCGTTCAATGTTTATATTAAAAATTAAAAATTTTTTTAATTTTTAATATAAGAATTCTGCATATTAAATAATGAAAAAATTAAAAAGGCTGAATACAAAATCTTGGATAAATGAAATAGCTAATTCTAATCCTAAAATTTTTTGCTTCGTAAAAAATTATAATTGGTACTAATGTTAAAATAAAAATTAAAATACTGCTTGTAAACATAGAATATAAGAAAGAGGATAAAATGATTACTAGACAATAATCTGCTACTAGCAAATAATCATAATCCTAAACTAATAGGTCTGAAAAAATATAAAATTAATTTTATTATAATAAGTAATGGTAATAAGGCTAAGGACGTTCAGTTAATACAAAATAGGAATATAATTTAATATCGTGTTTAATAACAACTAAAATTATTATTCCTAGGAATATATTTACTGAAAGACCTTAAAATAAAAATAAAATAAAAATAAAAATAATAAATAAAAATAAAATAAAAATAAAATAAAAATAAAAATAAAAATAAAATTTTTAATAAAATAAACATTTTAAATTTATTAAATAATAATTATATTATTATTATAAAAAAAATTGGGGTGGGGCTTTAATTTATTATTTTTTTTTTATATTAAGATTTTTTTTTAATTTAAAAAAAAATCTTAATTAAAAAGAGTAGTAAATCTTCTCCCTACTTTATAATGAAATAATTTAAAACATTATAGATTTATATAAATATTTAGATTAAAACAAAGATGCTTTTTTTTTTATGAAGCATCAAAATAAATTTAATTTAAAGTTTTATAATTATTAAAAAAAATATTATTTAATATAATTAATTTAATTTAATAATTACCCAAATAAAACAAAAAAAAAGATCAATCTTTTTTTTTGTTTTTTATGTAATTGAAAAAAAAAAGAATAAAGAATTTTTAATAATTTATAATAATATTATAGTTTACATTTTTAAATTAATTATTTTTATAATAATTTAAGAATAATAATAATGTAAAAAGTAAATTTAATATTATACTATTAAACATTTTATTTTAATGTAAGAATTCGGCGTCCTTGATATATGAACATACTAAAAGGCTGAACACAAAAGCTTGGATAAATGAAACAGCTAATTCTAGTCCTAAAATTCCAACAAAAATTGTAAATGGAACTAAAGTTAAAACAAAGATAAGAATACTGCTTGTGAACATAGAATATAAGAAAGAAGATAAAATGGCTACTAAACAGTGACCTGCAACAATATTAGCAAACAATCGTAATCCTAAACTAACAGCTCTTGCAAAGTATGAAATTAATTCAATTAGTACTAATAAAGGAGCCAAAGCAAGAGGACATCCAGTAGGTACAAAGTAAGAAAAGAATTTTATACCATGTTTAATTAAAGCTAAAATAGTAACTCCAAGGAAAATTGTAACTGATAAACCTAAACATAAAATAACAGAACTTGTAATAGCAAAATTATATGCAACATTACTTACTAAATTAGAAAATAAAATAAAAATGAATAAAGAGTAAATTAAAGGTATATAAATTTCTTTATTTTGACCTATTTGACTTTTAACCATGTTTGTTATAGTATCAAAAAAGCTTTCAAAAGCAATAGAATATCTATTAGGTATTAAAGAAAAATTATTATTAGAAAAATAATGTAATCCAAAAATTATTATAAAGACTAAAATTGCGTAAAACCCAAAGTTAGTTAAACTATAATTAAAATGCCCTAAAATAGGTGCTGTAAAACTAATTAATGAGAAACTCTCAAATTGATCTAAAGGTGAATAAAGTAACATTGTTTTTTTTAATTTGATGCCCAAAATAAAATAATATAACCTTAATAGAGCCTCTGCTTTTTGGCTGTAGTGAAGTGCGCTGGTGCCCGGGTATAAGATTAACGTTTTTAAAATTTAAATTTAAATTAATTTCTATTAATTAAATTAATAAAAATATATTAAAAAATATGCGTAGCACAAAAATAAAAGCTATGTTAAAAATTAAAAAAAAATATAATAATTGGGTTAAAAAATCTCGCCACGTTATAATAAAAATTTTAAACAAAAAATTGTAAAACTTTTTTTAAAACTTAAGTAATCGTGCTTCGCTATTATGCTTTAAACAAATATTTATATTATTTATTACAAATATAAGTAAGTTCCTTTTCTTCACTATTTATACTCTTACCAATTTAAAACAAAAATTAAATGTTTAATTAAAAGCTACTTACGCATACTTAATTAATCTTGTTTATAAAATTTTTAAGGAGCTTATACCGAAGGAGAAATATTATTTAATTTATATTTAAAAATAAATTTTGGTAGAGGGAAAAAATAAGAATAATTAAAAAATAAAAATCATTAAAAAAAATACTATTACACTTTTATAATTAAATTTATAATTTTAATTAATTTAAATTAAAAAAAAAAATAATTAAATTAAATTTATTATTGATTTTAAAATTAATTTTAATAATTATAAGGGAAATAAAAAAAATCAAGCACGGTAAATTATTTTATAAGACCAAAGAGAATTGAACTCTTATAAAACCTATTATGAGTAAGTTGCATTTCCATTATGCTATGGTCTTTGATAGGGATTTGTTTAAAAAAAATTATATATGATAAAATTTATTTGTTTAAAATAAATTAAACAATATGTTCTATTTTGAACTAAACCAAGTTCTAGTAGAAACATGCCAGCTGGAATTTTTTAATTAAAGCAAGGAATATGGAAAGGCGGAAAATAGTAAGTGAGGTTTTTATGTTATAAATGAATTTTATAAAGCATAGATTTAACCATATAAGGTTTAACAATTTGTCGTAAATTAGGCATAGAATTAGCACTTATATAAATCATGGGTTGACCTTTTAGGTAATGGATTGAACAAATTAAATCATACCGAATAATTAATACATTCATTAAACGTACAGTATCTTGGATAGTGAAAGAATTAGTGCACAAAGTTAGCCCACTTTTACTATACCGGCCGTCGCCCATAATTCAATGTGCAAGAGCTATAGGAGTAATGTAGTGATAAATATCCAAAGGAACAACTTTTTTACCTCGAGGATATCATTTATTGAAAAGTGCAGTCACACAAGGTAAAGCTCTAGTACGGAAAAAGATTGCATAAGTTTTATTACCATTGCTTTGCCCGATTTCTGATTTTGGTAGACTTTTACAATAATGTGATAATGAATTAAAAACATATCATAGGTATTCAAAATGAGCCATTGACTGTTTTAAACCTAAATATGCATTAATCCCACCTTTATTTATACTTAATCAAGCATCTGAAAGTA